GGCGGGCGGCTCTGGCGGGCGTGAAGAGAAGGAGGGACGCGGCGCGTGCGTGGGTGGGGGGGGGGTGTTGCTCGCGCTCGGGAGCCTGGTGGTGTTGCTCGTCCCCCTGTCAGCACGGAGGGTTACTCACAGGCGACCAGAAAAGGGGACGGGGACGCTGTGTGTGTGTGAGAGAGAGAGACTGTGGTGTGTAGGGGGGGAGCTATACACAACTCAAGAACCCACCATTTATTCTCTAACAGGAAATCCTCTAATAGGAAGAGGGTTATGATGGTATCTCCACAAAAGTCAAACTGAAACCCACAACCCGGGGAGCTAGCTTGGGAGTTTGGCAGACTTCTTCCTCAAGCACAAGGTGAAAAAGGAAGGGGGTGGATGCAAACACAGCCTCCACCGTTTATCTGATTAAAGAAGCACATGCTTGGCCCCCATTTCCATACCCAGGATCACTTACTCTACCCATTTCATGAGGCATTGCCTTGCCAAAGGCTCTTCTTCCCATTTGCGTATACTTTGCAATACCCTGGAGTTTAAAAAGCCAAGAAGATGGTTGTTGTTTGGTTTAAACAAACTACTAGAACACTCTAGCTGTACTGTAATGTTATTAACAGTTCAAAATATAGCTCTGCAGCCTCAGTGTGAGATAGAAGATGGTGTACTGAGGCCTTCCTTCAGACATTATGTCAAACCATCATTAAGCCTGAATGTAAAAGCTGGCTTGTTCCTATGTTTGCCTGTGACTCTCACTCCTCTCTGCTCCCCTCCCCTCCCTACAAATTGAAATCCCAGGATTTAATCCAGGTGTACGTGTCCAGTGTCTGGGGAGAGAGGAAACATCTGTATTGCACCATAGGATAGTGGGACAAAGAAGCGATGACCTCTTTTCTCTTGAACTTAGAAGTGATGGAAAAGTTATTTGGATCTGTTCTGGCAAAAGTAAATTGTGGTGCTGTGGAGCTAGAGATCAATTTTAATCCCTGCTAGTGTTTATATTGTCAAAGAGAAGGTAACCATTGCTTCTTTGTGCCAATATGCTTTGGTGCAATCTGACAGTTTTTGCGCTTGGTTGGTCACAAAGAGCTTCCTGGATCAACATCTTAAGACTTCCACTGCCTTCAATACCTCTTTTTTCAAAACATCAGGGTTGAAGAAGAGTTTTATGATAGATGATTCAAATAAACAATATTTCAAACAGAACAGTGATTACTTTTCCAATTGCTCATTGTGACTATCTGCATTCACAGATCAGTCTAGTTCTTGGACATTTATATACAGACCTTTTTAAGACATAGGGATTCCTGTGCCTTTAACATGACAAATTGTTGAACAAGCAAATTCTCTCCAGCAAAACACCTTCATGCAGGTGAAAGCTGCACAGGTTGTCTTTATGCCTAGCATGAAGCCACTATAAATACTATGAGACAACATGTAATCTAAGGTTGCACTCCTAAAAGCACTTTCCTGGGAATAAACTGAATAAAATTATGTTTGAGTAGATCTGCTTAGGATGGCTCCCTTAATATCCTGTTCGCTCCAAGCATCTAAGGGAGTAATCCTAAACAGAGTTTCATACTGGTAGAGTGTCCAACTAAAATCTGGGATACCAAGGTTTCAGTTTAACTGGGTGACCTTGGACCACTCACACACTTTCAGCCTAACCTGCCTCACAGGGTTGTGAGGATAAAACGGAGGAGTGGAGAATGATGCAACCTCTTATAGATTTACACTGAGGAGAAAGACAGGAGTATAAATAAAGTAAGCAAATAAATATGGGTCCCGGTCACATGGGCCGGAAAATGAAGGGGGGAAAGTGTGGCTGTTTGCCCCGGAGCAAACTAATGCACGGCCGCCGGATCACACATCCCGCCGACGTCCTGTGGTTCCGGGGGAGGTGCCGATCACATGACAATCCTGCGGCGCGGCAAAGAAGCGGCGCGGTGCAATCACAGCAGCAATGGCTAGGCGCCACTGCCGTGGCAAACGGGGTTGTGTTGTTGTTTTTTTAAACCGAAGTGTGCGCATCCCATGGAGACTTGGAAAAAAAACCTTTTTGCGACGGGACATGGGTGGGCGCCGGATGCCACGAACTACCACCGGAAATGCGATCAGACACCCGCCCTTGCCCCGTGGGAAGCCTCAGGTTAGCCACAGGAGCTCTATGCTTCCCAGATGTTGCGGTGTGATTGCACCCGGAAAATCCGCCTATCTTCCGTCTCTGTAGCGTGGCTAATGCTCTGTGTGACCGCAGCCATGGTATACTCAGAATCCTGCTGAGGTCTATTTAGTAGGAATTACCTCCAGGCAAGTATTCTTAGGGTAGTACTGTAATTGTATAAAATTTAACCTTTGAGTTTAAAAAACAACAACCATACACTGCAGTTATTTATTTATTTATATCCCACCATTCCCTGGGATTCAGGGCGGTTACAACACTGAATAAAACAGTCAATTTATAAAACTTAATTCAATAATAAAGTTCCTCAGTGATAACCAACAAATCACAGCATTCCAAGATGAAAATTCGAATGTTTGTTTGTTTACAATACTTATACCCTGCCTCGCTCCCCAGTTGGACCCACAGCAGTTAACATCATTCTCTTTTTCTCCATGTTATCCTCACAACAATCCTGTGAGGTAGGTGAGGCTGAAAATGTGTTACTGACCCAAGGTCACCCAGCAAGATTCCTTGGTAGAGTGGCGATTCATATCTGGGTCTACTAGATCATAGTTTGATACTCTAACCACTGCACCACAAAGTTTATGAAGTACTTACAGTTCTCATTTACCTGACTCTAGGCTGAGGCCCAAGAAAGTATTGCATAGGACTGCAGCCTGTTGAAGAAAATGGAATGGGCTGCAACTAACTGTTATGTTAACAAAATTTAGATACACATGAAAATAGAAGTAGGAATCTTCTTGGCTTAAAGATGTATATCTGCTCGAGTCCCAAATTAATTTGTTTTGGATTATTTTCAACCCACTGTTTTCAGCAAACTTCTCTACTCACTTCACATGAGTCTTTAGTAAAACACTTTTTCTTCCTTGGCACCCACTTTCTTTTACATATTGCCAACTCATATATTTTGCATTTAAAAAAGGAAAGGTTTTGTATCCACCCAGGCTTGATTAATCAGAAATCGTAAACTGAACAACCAAATAAAGAAATACCCCTTTGGTGTGTTGCTTCCTCCTTTTCAATGCATTGTTAAATATCTGTGTCATAAAAATGTGAGGGATTTAAAAGTCTGTGGGAGGCTCCCTTTGAAAAGGAATCCAAAGAAAATCTTTGCAGTCCAGGATACTTGAGCCGGATGGGATGAGACTACTAGGCAGATGTTAAAAAGGGCTATTTAGTCTTTAGCTGCAGAGATACACACATAGACCGAAAGATGCACAGATAAACATTATGTGGGGAGGCTGTGGTGTGGGGATAGGGCAGAGGACATAATTTTTCCCCTGTCCCTTGAAAATTCAGTATAATGCTGAGAGCCAGTTTGGTGTAGTGGTTAAGTGTGCGGACTCTAATCTGGGAGAACCGGGTTTGATTCCCCACTCCTCCACTTGCACCTGGCTGGATGACCTTCGGCAAGCCGTAGCTCTGGCACAGCTGTTCTTGAAAAAGAGCAGTTTCTGTCAAGAGTTCTCTCAGCCCCACCTACCTCACAGGGTGTCTGTTGTGTGGAGGGTAAGGGAAAGGAGTTTGTAAGCCGCTCTGAGACACCTTTGGGTAGTGAAGGGCGGGGTATAAATGCAATCTCTTCTTCTTCTTCTTCTTCTTCTTCTTCCTCTTCCTCTTCTTCCTCTTCTTCCTCTTCCTCCTCTTCCTCCTCTTCTTCCTCTTCCTCTTCTTCCTCTTCTTCCTCCTCTTCCTCCTCTTCCTCTTCCTCTTCTTCTTCTTCTTCCTCTTCTTCTTCCTCCTCCTCTTCTTCTTCTTCTTCCTCTTCTTCTTCTTCCTCCTCTTCTTCCTCTTCTTCCTCCTCCTCTTCCTCCTCTTCCTCCTCCTCCTCTTCCTCCTCCTCCTCCTCCTAAATATGAATGAGGAAACCCCAAAGGTATATAAACTGACTTGCAACAAACGTAGAGAGCTCAGCAGGAATAGTGTTAACATTACAAGTAATTTTTTTAAAAAAGGCTGAGTATATTCTCTCCAATGACAAGGTAGTTCAGGCTAACTTTCACCAGAGCACTTCAGCTATTTTACATATTACACAGATTCACTATATTATATTTAACATGCAGCTTCCACTTACTA